TTTGCGTTTAAGTTTTGTAAAAGGTTGGGGTCCGGATTATCCTCGACAAAGTATAAAAGAAACTCCATGCTGGATAGAGGTATATGTATATTCTTTTTTTACATTAATCGTGGATTATTTTGAGAATTATAGAGCGATAAATTTATATGTTTGACACAGGTGCACTTACATAGAGCCCTTCAATTATTAGACGAAGTTCTACATACTATGCCAATAGACGGTCCACGGGGAATTGAATAATTCTATTTAATTTCGAAAAATACATATTGTTGCGAGCACCGTATATAATCTCACAGCCTACTGGTGCTCTCTCCGGAATCAAGAAAACGGTCGGTTCTTACTGACCGATGCCATCGATCTATCTGTTGTAAAGCTTTCTTCATATCAACTTGGATGCCTTTCAAAATTATAGCAACCGACGGAAAAATTTTGAGGGACCCAGAATCGAACCCGCGACCTCAGGCTGGTAGGCCGAGCGAGCCTTTGCCCACTACGCCAACAACTCCCTCTCAAGCCCGCCTCCAGGTAAGTCGAAAGTAAGTTCATCTTCCTATTTATTTCGTTACCTGTCTTCACAACTGGTCTTATTTTTCCTCCTTCTGATTTTTGCATTACGTGAAAGTGCTCTTCCGCCTGTTTCCAACCGCCGGCTGGTTTTCATAGTTAAAGAGGTGTATCTGTGCAGCTTTCCTGGCTCTTCCTCTAATAGTCGCTCCAGCTCTTGGATTTTTTTGTCCGAGAGAGAGGCGGGCGCTGCTTCTCCTTCCTTGATGTTTCCCGACGGTTGTATCCTCGGTATGTCTTCTAGGTCTAAACCTACCTCTCTACCCAGGTAGTGTTGCTGGGGATACCAGTAACAGGCTCATCAGATGAGCCCCTGAACAGTATTGTGCAGTCAGAGTAGAGTACCGCGGTCTTAGTGATCCCCATACCCTTTGGTATCACCAGGGTTTTCATGACCTCACGTGCATAGTCTTTGATCCTGATCCCCCCCCACTTGTCGACTGTGGGGACTGGACTGCCGCGATCTGCCCAGCCCATCTCCCTGGTCAATATTCCGCCCATAGAGTAGTCCACAATCCAGGATATCTCCGGTGCCTCGTCGTAGCGTAGGTGAGTCTCGTATGTTAACCCCCAGTCTTTTGCCTGAAGGTCCAACCGCATAAGTCCAAGCTCCAACTGAGGGTCATCTTCCCCCTGGCCAAACAGGCTACACGTATTGAACGTCCACCGTTCTATTAGGACGTGCCAGCGCATGGTCGCCTCAATGCTTAGACTATTGATCTCCAACCAGTTGGTTCCCTTTGGCCAAAAACTTTGCGTATAGTTAGAGTAAGCCTCACGTAATAAATTTTCGCTGGTAAGAGCTCTTCCAGCATATTTTCTATGTCACCGTTGATGTTGTATTCGGGTATGTCCCCTCCTATCGTGATTCGGGTCGCCGCCTTCGTTGGTACCACAAATATGAAACGGTGCGCTATATCGTTAACGTCCACCAATCCTGTCGTTCTAACAAACAGCTCGCGCTTCGTCTTCTCCGCTACATCCTGGCTTGCAAATGTGTCAATAACCCACGCAAGCTGGTAAGTCAATAATGACAACATCCACATATCCCGTCCCAGATATCCGGGACTATCGTTTTCATCCATCGTGATAACGCGTACGCTGGGATCGTTAAGACGCCAACCTTTTTCCTCCCTATTCTCCCAGATTGTCGGTTTCCTATTTGGGTATGGAGGCCCCGATACTACAATATAGTCCCTCAACGTGTGCCCATCATCTAATAAGCTCGTCGATTATTAATGGTGATTAATACTTCCTCATTGGGAAGGATTCTACACTTGCCTTGGATCGATAAATTAATGCGTTAAGTTAATCGTAAGTTGCTAGGCATGTTGGTCAATCCTCCCTCCAAACTACGATGTCCTTTTTCTAGCAACGTACTAGCTAAATACACTCGTGAGCTTGATCCTTTCATGATTTCACTCAGATATTCAGTGTATCCCCCATACCCTAAGAATTAATTCGAAAACATTCACTTCCGGGCAAAGCCGACTCTCCTGTGTGAAAAAGTGGTATAAAACAGAACAAACCTGCGTGGCTTTTTCAGACACCTCTCGACTCGATATTCATCTTCAGTCTCAGGGGAAACCACATAAAAACCCTGAGCAAGGCGCTTGAACCTAAAGAAACATCTTTCCAGGTTCTTCACGCTATTTTCACGTCCTCACCCTTCAAAAAGGCCTTCAACAGAAAGAGAAGGAACTACATATATTTTTTAGACCGACCATCTTCTTGATTCCGGAGCGAGCACTAACAGGCCACAAGATTATATACGATGCTCGCAACACTATGTTACAAAAAAAGACATCACATTGCTGCAAACTCTGCATCAGGTGTGCAAAATGTATAAAATGCATACGGATATAATACTGTGTAGTATTGTTAAAGATTTCGAAAAAAAAAAAATCAACAAAACACGTTGATTCGAATGGAAACAGTGCGAACTTTAAATCCAGAAGAAAACATAGAAACGCGTTACTCCAGATTTTTATTCACATTTTTTATATATTTTACACACATGATTTACCGCGTAGAATGAGATGTGTGCCACGGCCTTGCATTACCGTCAACGTACAAACGTTTTGCAAAGGAGATGTTATTTTTCTTTATGAAAAATTATTTTTTGAGAAGAAAGAAGTGCTGCATCTACAAGAAAAAAAAAGCAAAGGTAGGATAAAAGCCTTGTATTTTAATAGGCAGTCGTTGTTTGATTTAAGGGGAAAAAAATACATTTTCCATGGCATGGCCTGGTGAGCTCAGCAAAATGCGTGGGTAAAACGTGATACTTTCGGAAACATGAATAGTCATAATCTCGTTTTTTGAGATTAGCTTTGTAAGATAGCTTAACTGACGTACATCCTACTTAAAAGAAAAAAGAAAAAAAAGAAAAAAAAAGAAGCGATGACATGTTTTAATCTCAGTGTTTATGTCGAATTATAACGATGGTAAAAGAATGAATATATATGTGCACAGTGGGAAGGTTTTCTAAGAGTGCAATACGTTTCAAAGTACTGTCGGATAACAGCTTTAGCGTGTAGAAATTACTACGATAAATATTACATAAGACATTCTACATATAACTCTGTAGTATGAAAGAAGCAGTAGCATATAATCAGGAAGAAATTTAATGAAAGATGTTTGCATAGAGAAACATTAATGGGAGCAATTGAATATTGTGAAAAGTATGTATTGCGTTAGGAAGGCATATTTTTATTACACCTGTATCAGTTGTACTGGCAGTAGTTTGATACTATGCTGTTAGAAGGACCTTCTATATTGTCATCTGTTTTATACTTCACAACCAAAAAGTATCACTACGTAAATACCTGCAGTGTTTGGTTTATAATGATGTTTCATGTCTCCTCTTTTTTACCATTACTTTCCCTATAAGGACATGAATTTATTCTATAGTTAGTATTATTATAATTATTAGCATAGTTGTTGGTGATGAGACAAAATGAGAACATTTAAAACTTGGTACGATCTTGCTCGAAAAAAAAAAAAAAATCGAACAAGAACTGATCATGTTTTTGATGTAAACTTTTATTTAATTGTCTCCCTTCTAATCAACCACCAATGTTACTACTATTACCATGTAGTACTTGTTGAATAATTATACTTACTGTTTACCAACCATTTTATTATTCTATATTCGTACTATATACATATATGAGTGCATATGTATATGTATGCATACTGACATTATCTTTTCTTCATTTATTCTAGGCAAAGAGAAAAAAAAGTTAACTGCTTGTTTTTATTAATTGATGCACATTACAGTATTCTGAATTTTTGCTTCTTTGTTGTAATTGAGTAGAGATTATTTAGCTGTTTGTGTTCATGTTGTCCTTACATTTTTTATATTATACTTAATCAAGATCAGTCTCAGTGATACGAACGCCAGTTGAATTTTGTATATATAAGCATGTGTATGCGCGTTGTATTACAAGAAAAGAATGAGTTCTTGATTAAGCAAGTATTGAGTTATTGTGAGATGTTTTATTCTTATTATGTGAGGTTACATATTACCTTGTGTGATAAAGCCAAGGTTGAAAAGAGGTAGTCTATTAACATCATTAAAAAGACACATTTAAAGAAAGGGAGAAAAGAAGACAAAAGGAAAAAAAAGAGTTGTATAGTAGAAGTAACAAAAGGATGTGCATTTGTTAATGAATGACGAAGTGAAGAGTAATGTTATTGACTAAATTTTTACAAAGTCTGTATTTTAACGGGGGGGAAAAAAAGAAAAATACACGAAACATTATTTCCATCATTTTTTTTTTTTCGTCTATACCAAGGATAATACGGAGCTCAAATAAATAAAAAAAAAAAAAAAAATCGTGTTTAAGCATACTTACCGCCAAGTTCGCTTTAGAAACACATGTGCCATCATTTTCATATATACCATACACAAAATAACAAACAGGATTAAGAATTTTTATAAATCCTATATTTTTACCAAGCTCATAAAATGCGGATGCAACACATGTTTAAATTGTGGTGCTTCAGTACGTCCTATACCCATAGATTTTACAAGATCCAGAAAAAAAGATTTGTACATCTAAATTAAGCTGAATGAAATCTATGCGAGAAAACATAAGGTGGATTGTAAAAATGAATGCGTTCGAAACCAATTGTAGCATTCTCGAATAGAGTAACGAGATAACGAGAGAATTGGTATGTGAAATACAATCCCAAAGCTCAGATACTTTGCAACGGAAGATATTCTGCAAACGTGTTCATATGATGTTTTAACGATGCCTCCGAAAAATAGTTTCGTACATATATTAGAACTGGTATCAGAAGTGCAATAGCCCTGTCTCATGTCAAAGATACCATAGCTGATAGTTGTAAACGTAAATAAAATGCCTATGTAACTTATGTTTACAATTGCAAAATGACAACGGTAATTTAATAATGGATACTATACTTATTACTGCTTTCTTTTTTCACTTTTTATCAGGGTAGTATATACAGTATAACTTGCTATTTAAGAACTTTACCAATTTGCTTCATGTCACAATCAATGACGAAGCCTACGCATATATCGTTTATTTTATACCTAATTTTATCGTTTAATGTTTTATAAATAACGTTGAAATCGAATCGAGAAAACTTGTTACGTTTATTCGATCTTTTATGGATCACTTTTCTGTGGCTATTTATTGATATTGATTTTACTTCCATTTTAAATGTAGCGATGTATTTTAATACAAGGCTTCGTTGTTAATTAATTACAGATTTTGAAACTCAAAGCTTGTTCTTAAACTTTAGGAGCATATACACAAGCATGTACAACAAATATCAGAATAGAATTATACATTTATCATTGCTATTCGTGATTTGAAATGATTGAGAAATAATGGATTAATAGATTTTTCTTTACTAGGCGTTACAGCTCAACTTAAACACGAATCGTTTTCGTAATATACATTTACGCATATATCTTGAAATTTAGTTGAAAAGCGGCGATCTAATTGTCATTGTTTGTTTCTTTTAAACAAGTTGTGTATGTTTAAACCAAAGATATTTCGATGATACGATTACACCATGATATGTTACAAATATGTATGAAATGTAAAAGTAATTATTCTTAACAAATACGTCGCAATACATAATGCAAGTAGAATCGCATATAAACATTTTAAACCATATGTTCAAACACAATCTCATTCAGGTGTAGATTTTCATGGTGTTGAAGTCACGATATTTCAGTGAATACTACAAAAATAAGCATCATACGAATTACAAATTAATATCTGTGATTATCGTCGTGCAGGTAAATTATATTATTGTACAATGATTTCTGCTCGTGAAACATTTTTGCGTAAAACTGTACGACGATAATACATTATTAGATTGTCAGAAAGAAAAAAAAAGATTTGTGCACGTATGTGCTAAGTATAAATTGCAACATATGGGGAAACAGGCTATGAAATCAGAGATAGTTAATGCAGTGCCTGTACATCATATTGTAAAGCACATATGCTTACAGAACTTGAATGGATGTGTTTACAAATTTTTTGTTATTGTATATTATAAATACATTACATTATACATGATCATTTTCAATAAACATATTCTGTGAATTAGAAAAATGTATCGATTTTGATTTAATAACAACAAAGTGAATATACCAAATGTACTTGCAGAAGATCTATATTTATTAAGGAAACTATTGTTTAATATACAAGTAACTTATTGTACAATGTATCTATTTTAGCTTTTTGCTGTAGATGATGCAACTTCCATAGGCTTATCATATATATTACCATTACTATCAATTGCAACATTATGATTTACAACATTTTCCAATGCATTTCGTATAGCTTCATCTATGGTGTCACGTGTAATAAATGTTGGGGCCTCCTCTTTTGCTTTCCTAATTTCGGCATCTACTCTCTCTTGAATACTCAAATCTCTTATTGCTTTTTCTTTTAATTTTATATTAATTTCTTTTACACGATCTTCTCTTTCTTTAGCTAACCTTCTTTCCCTCATTGCAGCTACTTGGTTATTCCATATATCATTTATATAGTTACACATCTTAAAATCATTTTCTACATTGATTTTTACAACATTTTCTTCCAAGCATTCGGTTTTTTTCTGTTCCTTTTCAATGAAAAAGTTTCTGAAACAAAGACATGTTATATCATGTTGTACTGTCAATGATTTATGTTATACTATGTTCAGATAACAATGTTATTAATAATAAAAATAATGACATACTTTAAGGATTTCATTAATGTTTTGTAATTATGATGCAAACGTTTAAGTTCTTCGTATTCTACTACAGGTATTTCCGGTCTTTTTGGTACTCTAAATACTTTAGATTTTGCTGTTGGTAACCAAATTGGCTTTCTCTTCCATCGTACACTTTGGATGCACGGTCCATTAATTATTAAATGGTCATAAGCATTTAAATTTCGTACAGTTAATGTTTTCACACCAAGGATAATCGGCGATCGTATCATTATTTACAATTAATTTTTGCAGAAGTTTAGCCTTATTCAAAGGATATTTAGAATTGCACAGTAAACCATGTATTTGTACTTTTATAATAATACTGTAATATTCTTACACTTTCAAAACATCATTGCGTGTATCAATATTGTGTATAACGTTGTTACTAAGGTTAGGAACGCGTTGTTGAGAGGAAATTTATCTGTAGATTCCTTATTATCTAGATATCACTTGTATAGTGAGCGACATCCATGAAGCACCATAAAAATTAATTTGAAATTTTAAAAAAGCTGTCGAGTTCGTTATAATCTGTTGAAGATAAAAAGTTTACTATATAGTATTAAATACTTCATTAAGTACAAACCAAAAGTGCTATAATAGAACGTAATAGAATACAGTTTGTTACTTTATTTTGAGAAAAATATAAAAATTTTTTTATTATTTTTATCTTAATTGATGGTCTAAACGATTCATGAATTTGACATTTAAAAGTATTATGAACTTTTCTTTTTGCGTGCAAATATGAACGAAGCAGTGAAATAATTAGTCTCGTGTTTTGAGGACCTCATTAAATACAGGGCGTATGCGCCACAGCACTTACCTACATAGCGGTATTGCTTTTTTAAAAGCAGTAGTGCCAGAGATCTTGATCTAGCGAGTACTGTCTCATATTTCGAATGCGTCGTATAATTTTTCCGTAAATTTTGAA